AAATAATACTTCAAAAGTAGACAATTTGTAAAAATTCAAGAGATTTGTAAAAAGGTTTTTGGTCATGCAAGCTGCCTACTAGTGGCCAATAGTGTTAAGAGTTCAGAGTAATTATTTGTGTTAAAAAAATCGTCTATAGGAAAAAAAGGCTTTGCTAAGGATTTGAAAAGGTTTATGTTATCAATTTCTTTAAATGGAATGGGAAGTTTATTGAAAAGTTGTAATTGTAAATATTTATGGCGTTTTGTGAATTTTTAAAGTCTAACTGGTGGGATGTACAGGTTGTTAGATTGTCTAGTTGAGTGGTTATGTATTGAGTGACATTTTGAAAAATTTTTAATGTGTTGTTTAACCTACACTAGAAGTTGTTAAAAATACAAATACTTGAAAGTGTCATTATATAATTATTTATAAAGAAAGGTTTGCAGTCAACTTTATATGGTATATCAAACAGGATCCGCAGGGCTTTTCTTTGCAAAGTAAACACCCTGCTGGCCCCACAGCTATTTCCCCAGAGAATATCCTTATATATAATACGTGTGTATGAAATAAACTATGGTAAACGGAATGGAATGTGTGATTTGATACACAGTTTTTTTAGTTTTCACAGTAAAAAACATACTCGTGACAACTTAGATATTACATTGTTAATATGTTCTTCCCAAGTTAATTTTTGATCTAGGAAAATACATAGCAATTTAACATAGTCTAGATTTTCAATTTGGTTTCTGCGTAGTGTAAAACATATTTTCTCTGTCTTGTCTATTAATTTCAAGTAAATTACTCTTAAACCAATTATTACCAATATTGATCATGTTATCAATTCCATGGATTGCTGTGTTAAATTCGTCAGAAGGCCAAATAAACGATGTGTCGTCTGCATATAGAACTGTTTTACAAGGCATAGCATTTGGTAAATCATTAATATATAATACTAGCCGAGTACCCGTCCATGGTAAGGGGTTGGTATACAATGCTTATTGCAGTTATACTCGTGCTTTGCATTTGCAATGGGAAAGGATACGTTTTTAAAGAAAATTTTGTTTACTATAATTTACGGTATAGTATAGAACCAATAGAACCATAGAACCATAGCCATAATGTTCTACCAGTTCACCTAAAGTTCCCACAGCTTTTTGTTGCTGCTTGGTTCAAATTAGCTGTTGTCATAAATGTATAAGAACTAATGGTGCTGCACCCTGTTGGTAAACCGTATAACCTTTTAATGCTATTGAATATCATAGAAACAAATTGTGTAGTCGAAGCAGCTGGCAAAATTATTTAATTCCTTTTAAATGTTAACATGGGAAACACTAGAGCCGCTGGGGCGGAGCACGAAAGGATTTTTTAAGTAAGAATATGTCTATATGTTAATCGGGAATGTGAGCTATCATCATACCAAATTTCAACACAATCAAACCAGTAGTTAACGTGTGATTGAACTTCAAACAAACAAACAAACAAACACACAAACTTTTACATTTATAATATTAGTATGATAAACAATACCGGCCCAAGTACTGACCCTTGTGGCACCCAGCAAGAACCTCTTTAAAAGCTGATGTTTGTTTGCCGGAAGCTACATAATGTTGTCAGCCACAAAGATGTAGGTTTAAAAAAAATTTAGTTCCTGGTGTTTTATACCATAAAAATCCAATTTTTGCAAAATTATGGTGTGCAGAACTGAGTCAAAGGCCCTGCTGAGATCCACAAGGGCCAAACTGAGATAGTTGCCAGATTCAAATGTATCCAGAATATCTTACACTATTGGTTCAACAGCTAAAGTTGTGGAGTAACCGGGTCGAAAGCTAAATTGATTGCTGTTCAGAATTTTATTGTTAGAAAATCAAAAAGCTGTATTTTAACACAATTTTCAATAATTAAAAAAAAACTAGAACCATTGAAATGGGACGATAATTGAAAATAGAAGATATATCTCCTTTCTTGAAAATTGGCACTGTTATGCATATTTTCAGACAACTTGGAAATGTGGAATTTAATAAGGCAATATTAACTAGGTAAGTTAACGGTTCTACAATGTATGGTGCTATATTTTTGACATTTTTTTTAGAAAAGCCATAAAAATCTTCAGAATTAGAGGAACTAAGTGATCTTATAACTTGTAATATTTCAATTGATATTACTGGATTCCAGGAAAAATTTGTATTAGAAACATTATAAAGATAATGTTTCTAATACAAATTTTTCCTCCACTGTGTCCAATGTGTGTTTTCAACCAATTACAGCTGACGAATTTAATAACTATTACATTGATGTAGGAAAACAAATTTTAGACGAGTTCTCTAATGGAGGGGGAAATGTGTTAAATTTTTACGACTTTTTAGATAAGGATCTCCCCCATCCATTAGAGAACTTGACTAAAATTTGTTTTCCTACATCAATGTAATAGTCATTAAATTCGTCAGCTGTAATTGGTGGATCCGACTTTTCACTTAAAAAAAATAAACAACTTTCCATGCAGCCTTACATTTGTTTTGTGAACTATTAATAAATTCCTCATTTTATTTTATCTTAGCAGTTTTAATTCTAGCTTTATATTTTTTTTTATAAGCTGGTATTTTAGTCAAATCCTTGAGGAGTAACATAGTTTCCTTAATTTTCTTAAGTGACTCATCAAACCACAGGTTATTTTTTGTACTAACTTTGTTGTAGTCCTTTCTTACTCTCTTAGATAGTCTAGGACAGTGATAGTTATAAAAATTCTGAATACAGCCAAGGAAACAACTGTAGGCCTATGGTGATTGGTTATGGGGAAATTTCAAAAAATTGTTAATTTAAAATTCCCATGTTATTCTTATGGAGAATATTGTAAAATTTTGTAGTTGGCTTGTTTATGGATATATTTTGATAAAACTTGGCGGGTTTATTTATTTTATTCTAAGCTATTGATATTTTAATAAAAAACACACATTATTAGTTTCCCTGTTGCAGCTAACCTAGGTACTCGTTAAACATAAATGTTTTGCTGCAGCTTGGGGTATTTAGTATTATTTCAGTCATACAGCATTCAAACTCTTTCTCAAAAATAATGTTTTGAATACCTTTGATAAGTACATTTTTGAAATTTATATTGTTGCTGGTAAGAATTAGAACACCACCACCAGTGGTTGTAGATCTAGTCCAATAAGACGCTATTTTGTAATTTTCAAGTTTGAAATGAAATAAATCTGTCCCTTTCATATTAATCTCTGTTAAAACTACAATGTCTGGCTTAATTTCATCCAAGTTTACCTGCAAAATGCCTTTACGGTTTGATAAGTTTTGAACATTTTGGTGAAAAACAAGTTTGAGTGCTGTTTACAGAATGTATTAATTGGTTGCTAGATTGTGGCATTGACTATGGATACCGTACTGAAGTGGTATTAATAGTCAAAGATTGTGGCCTATGTTTCTTAAAAAGAGGTAGTACTATGACATAATTCATTAGTAGGATCACATGTTAGAGGTATGGAATTCAACACGGGAGTGAACAATTCAGAATCTAAAGATACTAATCGATTTCGTTTTTGCCTTTTCATGTACCAAAATCTGGCAAAACGCTGAATTTGAGCATTAGTTATGTGAAATCAAAAACAATTTTTTTTTTTAGTTTTTATCTTCTTTTAAGAATAAAAATATTATCTGGTTGCTAGTAAGAATTACAACACTCTTAATTAAAATTAATGCATGGAAATCTTATTTTATAGAAAAAACAGACCAAAATTATTTGTTAAATAATGTATACGGCCCTATTAACTCGGAACTAATTAAAATAATCACATCAAGAACAACACTGTAATATATCCAAATTTCAAAAGATTATTTTTCATATATTTTTCCAATATTCTCTTCATTATCTGTTTTAACTTTACTTTAAATTAATTTATTATTGTAAATTTTTAATTTTTGAATCAGTTAAACACAGCCTGATGATGGAAACATAGTTTCTGAAAACGCTTGTGGATAAAAACAATTTATTATATATTGGCCTTTTTGAACTTTTAAATTTAGTAATACATTTCATTATTCATTTTCAATATCTCCAATAAAAGTTATTCTTCTAAGAACCCAATAAACAGGGTTCAGTATACAAATTTAAAAAAATTTTTACTATTTTGAACGCACAGCCTTAAAGAATACCAATAACCAGAAAGTGGCAGAAACAATTGTAGTGGCCGTGAAATACTGTGAATTTTTCATTTCCTAATAAGAGAATTAACAAGAATAAACAAAAAATCAAATAAAATGAATAAACGAATAATAAATTTATGTATGAAACATCATATTGCAGCTATTTGTGATGGATCTTCCAGATGTTCTTCACACATTACTAGTGTGAATTAATGTGTATGTCTCTTCATATTGCCACTAAATCGAAAGGATTTTCCACAAATAGTACACACTTATAAGGGTTTTCTTTGGTGTGAACCGATGTATGTTGCTTCATACTTGTTTTGCTTTCAAAGCATTTCCCACATGTAGTAGCCTACACTTATGAGGTCCCTCTCCCATGTGAACCAATGTATGAACCTTCATTTCAATCTTGGTTTTGAAGGATTTTCCATGTATAGTGCACTTTGCTCTTGCGTGTGAACCAATGTATGAATCTTCATATGGCTGTTGTATTAGAAACATTTTCCACATATATTAGGTTACACAACACTTATGAGGTCTAGCCTTTACTGCTTCCTTCAAAACTTCCTACGTCGTGGACCTGTTTCCCTCCCTTTGGATAGTATTTTAGTATTTTTAATACAATTATCTAACTGCCACACATGATTTCCACACTACACACTGCTCGCCTTTACTAATTCCTTCACCCTAAATCATAGACCTGTTTCAGTTTGCCATTTATGAGATGGATCCATGAATGTGATTCACCGATGGACAATCACATATGAGACCGAAATGGATTCACTTATAAGGTCGCTCTCCAGTGTGAACCAATGTATGAATCTTCATGTTGCTGCAGGTTTTGAGGGATTTTCCACATGTATGCACTAATGAGGACGCTCTCCCCTATGAACCATTGTATGTTTCTTCATACAGCTGCTGGTTTTGAAGGATTTTCCACATGCACTGCACTTATAAGGTCGCTCTCCAGTGTGAACTAATGTATGTTTCTTCATACAGCTGCTGGTTTGGAAGGATTTTCCACATATAATGCACTTATGAGGACGCTCTCCCGTGTGATCCAATGTATGAATCTTGATACTGTCCTTGGTTTTGAAGGATTTTCCACATGTAGTGCACTTAAAAGGTCGCTCTCCTGTGTGAACCAATGTATGTTTCTTCACACAGCTGCTGGTTTGGAAGGATTTTCCACATGTAATGCACTTATGAGGACGCTCTCCCGTGTGAACCAATGTATGAACCTTCATTTCAGTCTTGGTTTTAAAGGATTTTCCACATGTAGTGCACTGATGAGGACGCTCTCCCGTGTGATCCAATGTATGAATCTTCATACAGCTGCTGGTTTTGAAGGATTTTCCACATGTAATGCACTTATGAGGACGCTCTCCCGTGTGAACCAATGTATGAACCTTCATTTCAGTCTTGGTTTTAAAGGATTTTCCACATGTAGTGCACTGATGAGGACGCTCTCCCGTGTGATCCAATGTATGAATCTTCATACAGCTGCTGGTTTTGAAGGATTTTCCACATGTAGTGCACTTATGAGGACGCTGTCCCGTGTGAACCAATGAATGAACCTTCATATCATTCTTGGTTTTGAAGGATTTTCCACATGTAGTGCACTTATGAGGTCGCTCTCCTGTGTGAACTAATGCATGATTCTTTATACAGCCGATGGTTTGGAAGGATTTTCCACATATAGTGCACTTATGAGGACGCTCTCCTGTGTGAACTAATGTATGATTCTTCATGTGGCTGTTAGTTTTGAAGGATTTTCCACATATAGTGCACTTATAAGGTCGCTCTCCTATGTGAACTAATGTATGTTCCTTCATACAGCTGCTGGTTTGGAAGGATTTTCCACATATATTGCACTTATGAGGACGCTCTCGCGTGTGAATCAAAGTATGAATCTTCATACAGCTGGTGGTTTTGAAGGATTTTCCACATGTAATGCATTTATGAGGACGCTCTCCCGTGTGATCCAATGTATGAACCTTCAAACAGCTGCTGGTTTTGAAGGATTTTCCACATGTAATGCACTTATGAGGACGCTCTCCCGTGTGATCCAATGTATGAATCTTCATATAGCTGCTGGTTTTGAAGGATTTTCCACATGTAGTGCACTTATGAGGACGCTCTCCCGTGTGAACCAATGAATGAACCTTCATTTCATTCTTGGTTTTGAAGGATTTTCCACATGTATTGCACTTATGAGGTCGCTCTCCTGTGTGAACTAATGTATGTTTCTTTATACAGCCGATGGTTTGGAAGGATTTTCCACATATAGTGCACTTATGAGGACGCTCTCCTGTGTGAACTAATGTATGATTCTTCATGTGGCTGTTGGTTTGGAAGGATTTTCCACATGTAATGCACTTATAAGGTCGCTCTCCTGTGTGAACCAATGTATGACTCTTCACACAGCTGCTGGTTTTGAAGGATTTTCCACATGTAGTGCACTTATAACGACACTTCCCAGAATGTGTCAACAAATGACACTTCACTTGACGTAGCTGAATAAATGTTTTATCACAAGTCAAACACCTAAAAGGACGCTCACCCGTGTGTAAGTATATATGACACTTCATTGTTGATATAGTTGAAAACATTTTTCTACATATAGGACACCTAATGAGAGGCTTTTTAGTGATATTAAACATTTTTTGTTTGTGTTTCTATTTCTGATTTCTAACAGACGAGCTAGTAACTAATAGGAATTAGTCGGGTGGCTTTGCATTTTTATTTAAACATATGTCCTTTTTTGTTGGATTTGTTAAGTGTCGAACAGTTATTTTATATAATGCTGTATCAATAAAATGTTATCAATTCTTGCTCAAATATTATGTGCATTATATATCAAACAACATAGTCTACTCGAGGCAATTTGAGTTTTTTCTTGATTTTGATGTGTTATCAAGTTAAATTAGCCTACTTAAGAAAACTTTGCTTCTATATTTCATGTAGTTATTAAAATATTGCATCATCCATATAAATGTTATGTATAATTTGAATTTTAAGTTTTACAAAGTAAACTTACTTTTATTATGTAGTACTTTTAGTAAAGTAAAAACTTTATCTTTTTAGCTGCCTTTAAATGTAGGCCTATTAAAATAGCGGATTATGTCAATTATCTTTCTTACAACATGAATATAAGTTCCTTTTCCTCTTCAAATCGACTGCCTATTCTGAAAAAGACCATTTTCATTAAATATATACATTAGATTGTAATAATTTAGGTAGGCTATTTTATTATATTTAATTTCAAAATCGTTTTTTAAAGTAATTATGAAGTTTATTACACAGATTTCTAGATATGTGCTAACTTCTGTTTGTAGCACTGTCTGGCCCCAGTCAATACAATAAATAGGGCCAGGCAGTGTTACAAACAACCCAACCATCCCAACAGTGGCGTCGTCCTGTAATCCAGCTACTACTTTACTAGGTCAAGAGTTGTGTATATTTATAGGCATGCAATGTGGATGTGATGCTCCCTGGTGTGGATTAATGTCCGGACTAGTGAGTGCTACAACTATCCGCAGTACATTCCTGATAATTGGTCCAATTTGTTAATTACAAGGCAAAAATTTGGTTTGGATTCCATAATAAACTGTAGGTTAGTAGTTAGTTGCCATTGGCTTTATGGGCCTTAAATTAACAGCTTTGTCTAAGGAATATGTCGGCATTAGTCACTAACAAGACTACAAGATGGCGCCACTCATCTACACTTATCTCTATTGATACTACTTGGCTTAAATAATTACTGTACCGTACCTAAATTTGTATGGTCGCTATTTCAAATGTAAGTAGCCTATTAAAGGTATCTAGAGTACGGTACCACACAATTGAGTAGCAAGGGACAGTGTGTTAAAATATAAACGTGATTTTCTTGCTCCAAACAAAAGAAGACGTCCATATTTAAATAGACTCTTGGGTCATAATTATTCCCAAATTTTGGGTGGACTTTCAATAGTATTTCAATTTTTGTCAAGACGGATGTCTATTTCTATTTTTGGGATCACAAAAATGTTTCTTGTTTCGACAAATCATAAGAATGCAACGTGGAGATGCTCATGATCATGATGTCCATATGATTAAAAGATATGGTCATTGTGTATACGATCACGATGTCACATTGTTGGACCTGGTTACCTGTGATAACAAATAAATATAGAAATAGGCCTATGGGTGGAAAAAGTGGACAGCTCACAACATCTAATTGAGATCAGGTCTCTTGTTTATAAATAAATTGGGATTGCTTTTATAGTAGTGAAAGCCAATTGAACGAGCGACCACGTTTCATGGTTTTTAATAAAGCAATAAATAAATAAAATGATTATAGATATAAAACAAAAAACAACTATTTCATCAATTAATTTAACTTATCAGTTTCGCTCAGAACTATCAACATCTATAACAAGTTTCAGTAGTAAATATGTGGAAATTACATACATATCCATTTTATCAGTATTTTTCTGTGTTTGCTTGCTATGAATGTCATCTCGTGAAACCCACAGTTCTGGTTAAACCTGACATGAACCTAAACCAATCGACATTTTCTCAATCTTGCGCAGATTGTGTAGTTATCAGGCATCCTGCATGAATCCATACAATTAGCCGGTGTAACTTTTTGAAGACTTGCCTGCTTTGAGAGAATTGCACAAACATTGGTCACTATACCTTACGAGGGTTGTTTTCTTAAATTTTTTACATTTAACACAATTATGAAAAGCATTGTTTTCAACCAAGTGTTCTAAATTCAACTATCTCAAAACATTGCCAGAGAAGTAGTTGTTTTTGTGTTTCGGGTGTTTATTGTGTTCGGCAGTTTTGAGAGTGCATTCTGAAATTTTCCTTAATATGATACGCTTATGCAAATTACGGATTAAGGTAGAAGCATACTTTGATGATATCATTTGTCACGGAGAAACTCTCGAAGAGTGTATGAAGAACCTTATGGCATGTTTGGAATGTCTCAAGAAGAATGATCTACATCTTAACAGAACAAAATGTGTTTTCTTCAAGGAAAGTATTAATTACCTTGGACATGAGGTGTCATTCAATAAGATTCAAAAATGTCCTAAAATTGTTGAAGCAGTTACTCAGATGCCTCGCCCTAAAAATGTTGTTGAGTTAAGACGCTTTCTTGGCTTAGTTACATACTATGCAAAATTCATTCCTGAATTCTCTTCAAAAACACATCCGCTACAATGTTTGCTTCGAAAAGGAGAAAAATTCTTTTGGTCAGCTGCTGCTGAAGCCTCATTTCTGAATCTGAAATCTGAACTTTGTAGTGATACAGTTCTTGTTCCTTTCGACCCATCAAAACCAGTTATTCTCACAACAGATGCTAGCCCAACTGGAATTGCTGCAATACTCAGTCATGATATCGATGGTCAAGAAAGACCAATTGCATATGCATCCAGAGCATTGACTCAGGCTGAAACCAATTACAGCCAACTTGATACAGAAGCTCTAGCAATCATCTACGCAGTCACCCATTTTTACAATTACGTTTTTGGTAAAAAAATTCACTCTCGTCACCGATAATGAACCATTGTCACATATCTTTCATCCAGGACGTGCCCTACCACGAATGACATCATCTCGCTTATTGCGTTATTCTTCATTCCTCAGTGGTCTTGACTATACAGTTCGATGCAAGAAAGGGAAAGACAATGAAAACGTAGATTGTTTGTCTCGAAGCCCAGTTCAATCATCAATTTCATCTGAACAAACATTCGACAAAGAAATAAACACTATCAATGCAGAAACCTTACTTCAAATCTCCAGCACAGTGATAACTGCAGAAACGATCAAAGAAGAAACAGCAAAAGACCCTGAGCTTCAAGTTATTTTACATGAACTGAAAAATAGTCGCAAAGATAGCCCTTACATGATCTCAGACAACATACTTTTCCGATCAGATCAAGTTGTAATTCCCAAACGTCTTCAAAATCAAATTCTAAATGAGCTCCATGAATCACACCTCGGAATTACTAAAATGAAACAGCTTGCTATAAGATATGTATATTGGGAAGGTATGGACAAAGACATAGAAAGATTAGTGAAAAGCTGTGAAGCTTGTGCTAAAGTTCGTCAAAATCCACCAAAAGCTCCGGTACATCCGTGGGATCAGCCCGATGATAACTGGGAAAGAGTGCATATTGATTATGCCAGTCCATTGGATGGAAATTATTTCCTCATGTGTGTAGATGCTAAATCAAAGTGGGCAGAAGTTTTCATTCTTCGAAATGCTCCTTCCTCTGCAACGACGATGGCACTACTTGAAAACATTTTCTCGGTCCATGGGTACCCCTCGTTCTTAGTCTCGGACAATGCCACTATATTCAAAAGTGAGGAATTTATCAACGACTGTAAAGAACGTGGGATTTTCCAAAAATTTACTGCCCCTAACCATCCTGCAACAAATGGCCTGGCGGAACGAAACATACAAACCTTAAAGAGAAGACTTATTGCTTCTGCCGATGATCCAACCCCAATTACCACAAAGCTACAAAACATTATGTTCAGATATCGAGCAACACCTTTGGCATCAGGCAAGACTCCAGCAGAGTTGTATTTGAACAGGAAGATCCGGATTAGACTTGACACACTTCTCCCTAACCCAAAGGCAAAACTTCCATCAAAATCAATTGCTCCTCTTCGCCTCCGCTGTCTTAAAGTGGGGGAGAGGGTTCAGGCAAGAGTTCACCTGGGAAATAAAGACATATGGCAGTTTGGTACAGTCAAGAGAAAATTAGGTCAATACCATTACATTGTTGAATTGGATTCTGGACGAAGTTTAAAACGACACATAAATCAATTGATTTTGACTCTTGTAGCCAAGAAGAAATTTACCTTTACAACACAAAACAAACAAGATAGTTCTGTTGTTCCTAGAAGGATTCCTATTACAGACTGTCAAGCACCACCACAAGAGATCCATCCAGAGTCTGAATCAAATACAAACAATCCAACAGAACTAGACGGTACTCTAAGGGAAGAAAATCTAGACAGACCTCAAGCCACAGAACAAAAAGAAAACAAATTAACTCGTCCTTCCAGACAGCGCAAGGTTCCGTCCTATCTTAAGGACTTTGCTCTCCAGCGATTAAGTGGGGGAGAATGTTATGAACATATGTAGTTGTTACCATAGCAACCAAAATGTTTATTATCAAATGCTGTTGACTATTCTATTCTGTTTTCTAATATAACACAGTTACTTCTATTTCAACACTCTGTCTTTTTATATTCTAATATTTCCACTCGAGTCATCTCAGTAGTAATATGAAATTATGATTTTAAAATGTGTGAAAAGACAAATTGTGTGAACAGT